GAGGAAGAGCCCCCCAAATCATAAGATGCGTAGACTCCCTGGATCCAAGTTTCTCCATGAAGTCAGTGAAAGCATTGGCTTCTCTGGAAGAAAGACAAATCCTGACTACCCAATCCCTTAGCATCAAGCTCTTGATCTCATAGGTAGGAGCTCTGTATTCATGGAAAACAATATGATGTTCATAAATCAACCGAATTACCTCTGTAGAAGCAGAATTACATAGAATTCTTCTATAACCTCGTTCTTATGCAACCTGCAGATCATTCTTTAAAGCCAACAACTCTAGAAGTAAATTGGATTCAATGCCTGCAAACCCTGTATACCCCATTGTTGCACTGTAAATTTTATGGGATTTAAATAAAGTTGGAAGATAATTATGATAATTGATTAGTTAAGAGTAACTTAGAAAGTAAGGGTTATCCTTTATGTGTGTGTAAAAGAACGTATACATAAGCAGAATATACATGTATATAAGTAGTTATAATAAGTCATAAAATTGAAAGAAAATATACACTCATGTAAATGTAAGATCATGAAAAGAACATTGACGTTAATACTAGTTGATGTATGGATTAGTGAAGAACCTAAAGAATGGAAGATTATAGACAATTAATATTACTTGACTATATAAATAGATGGCAAGGAAAATCATGATAACACATAACTTAACAAAAATTTAAATCACTACATTGTAATTTTATCAAATTCTTAAGACCTTTTAAATCTGAAACTTATAAGTGATAACTTTGTATGATATTTAGTAGATATACTCTTATCCTGAAAGATATGAAGGTAGCTCTAAACTCGAGATGTCATTAATGATGTTAAAAAGAACTAGTTTCTTTAGGTACACCAGATATGAATGATGGGCTCATTCTAAGTTAAAAAGAATGATGGTCCTTAACAAATTAAACATATTCTAAAACTAGAAAATGACTAGTTTCTTTGGATACACTAGACTCTAATAATTGTTCATATAAAATTAAAGATGGAGTTATAAGGTTTTTGAAGGGTGTTTTTGTTGTGATGAAAGTCTTAAAATAAAATGGTCTTTATTTTCTTCAAGTTAGCATAACTATAATAAATTTTATTGTTTCATCTTTAAATCTTAATACTATGATGTTATGGTACATGCAACTTGAGTATATAAATGAGAAAGAAATGACTTTGTTAAGCAAATAAGGTTTGTTTGATGACCATAAAGTTGGATTTATGGATTCCTGAGAGCATTATGTGTTCAAAAAACAATGTATGATCAAGTTCAATATGGGTATTCATCAAACTAAAGGCATTTTAGATTATATTCATTTCGATCTTTAGGATCTATTTTGTGTTTTGTGTCTTAGTGGGAAATATATAGCTTTTATTGATTATTTATTTTGCAAGGTATGAATCTTTATTTTAAAATACAAGGATGAAGTCTTTGATTAATTTTAAAAAATGTTATAATTAATAAGCAAACTAGTACAAAGATCAAGCGCTTACTAACTAACAATGACTTAGAATTTCATGGAGGTCCATTCAATGAGTTTTGCAAAATAAAGGAATTGTGAGGCATCATATAGTAAAAAAAAAATGTCATGATAAAATGAATTTGTAAAAAATAGGAACATAACTTTTTTAGAGCTCGGTCTATGCTCTATATACTCTCTAGTATTGGGTTATCTAAAAGGTTTTGAAAAAAAATTGTTAACATAGTTTATTATATGATAAATAAATCTTTATCAACTACTATTAATTATAAAACTCTAGAAGAGATAAGGTTTGAATCTCTTACTAGTTATACAAATATAAAAGTATTTGATTATCTTGTTTATGCTCATGTGAATAATAGTAAGCTTCAGGTAAAAAGATATAGGTTGTGATGGAAATTCATATATACTATAAAATAAGTAAATTGTACTTTTCACATAAAAAGTACATTGAAAGGCTAGTTTATTTATTACTTTGTTATTACTTTGGTTTGCAAACATCAAAACTTGTAAATACTCCATTAATAAGTCATTTCAAACTCTTAGTTACTTTATTATCTGAAACGAAGAAGGAGATGAAGCATATAGTCCATCTTTTTCATGCTAGTATAATGAGAAGTGTCTTGTATATCATGATATGTATAATACTAAATATTTCACAACTAACTAGTGTGGTTAATATATACATGGCTAATTTTAGCAAAAATTATTGGCATGCTATGAAGTTGCTTGTAGTTTTAATTGTTGATTTTATCATATTTTTTATTTTTTAAGTTTTCAATTACATAAAATATAAAGATACTATTTTGATATTATTTTTAATCTAGCTTTAAAAATCATTTTTTTTCCTAAATAGAAACAATGCTTCCAATTAAAATATTGGCTAAGATTAAAAAAGAAGAAGAAGAAGAAGAAGATAAGTTGATAGAAAAATCTATCTTTATGAAAAAAAATCCAAAATACTGTATTTAATGACAATTACAAAAAATTTATTGAGATCTAATTTTTTTTTATGTTTAAAACAATTCGTATCCCCCAAGAGATAACATGAGCATACAAACTAATTTATTAAATCCTAAATAATATTTTCTTACTTCTCAATTTTTTTTATCTTAACATAGTTAATAACAAGTCTAATGGCCTGCGTTATGCCACAGGTTACAATAAAAAAAATTTAAAGTATAAAAAAATATTCAAGTATAGTTGATATGTCTTCTTAAAAAATAAATATATTTTAATCATGAATTGAGTAATATTTTTATTTGGTATTAAGATAAAAAACAATTGATCTAACTAGGTTATAGATTGACCTACGAAATTCATGGAGATAATCTTGAAAAAAACAAATTGAAAAATTCAATTTTAACTTAATTAATGTTAAAAAATAAAATCAGTAAAAAATAGCATTTAATTAAAAAAACCTAAGTAAACTAGAGTTAACCAAACAAACTCACAACATAAATTATACATGTCATCATATTCAATAAAATTGTATCCAAAGATTATTTTTTATTTAATTATATAATAATAAAACACATAATAATTTTTTTTAAGTATAAAAACTATGATAAACATGTGATGTTGAGATAATAAAAGTACATTATTGAAAAAAAAAGGGTGATATTACGTTCTTTTAGGTTTGAGCTAAATAAAAAAAATGATAACAAAGTATGAAATTATAAATTTTTTTAAATCCAAATATAAAAAGAAAAAAAAACTAAAAGAGCCGAAGAACATAACCTTAATGACCTAACATGCTTAAGCATTAAAAAAAGCCCAGGTTAGTGGACCTTCTAGCCTAGCATGGGGACTTAGGTTTGTTTTTATTCTTTAAAACAAGATTTTTTAAATTATCTATCCTACTTTTTTACAAAGAAAGATAGCAGACAATATATCATCTACATTCTAGAGCATCTAACAACCTCTAGTCGTCGAAAAAACAAGGCTTTGGTTTTTTAGCTTAAAACCTATTTTAACCCCAAAGACATAGAAAACATCCTAAAACTCTGATAAATATATTCATGATTTAAAAAAAAACTAAAAAAAGAGTGTAAAAAAAAATGAACCTAAACCCCAAAAAAATTCTGCAATTGAGATATGCCTCCTCAAAGCAAGGAGAAGAAAAAAACACCTTGGTGAAACTGTCCTCGTGAAATGAAATTTATTGACACCGTTTTAACTTTTTTGGTGTCTAAGATCATCGTCAATAACTACTTTCTCTCTCTATATCAAAATTTAGCTTCCTCACTCTCTCTACCTCCTCTCACAAAACAATGACTGAAAAATAGAAGAAATGAACTTTAATATCAAAATTGAATTTTTAATAAGGAACCAATAACTTATAAATAAAAAAAGATGGGAGATCAAAATAAAGTTTTTGTATGAAATTTAAAGCCATCATCTAATTTAGCTTTTATTTTCACCTGGTTATATGATTTTTAATCCAATCATTTCTTCAAAAAAAAATGAAATTAGGTGTTAATTTGTGTTTAAATGGGCTTAATGGTGCAAAAATATATTTACAAAAAAATAAAAATAAAAATTATTGTTCTAATCCATAATGATTTGTGAAAAAAAAATAATAACAAAAACAAATACTACAATATTTTTTCCACAAGGCTTAGTTTTTGTTAATCTTTTTAAGAAATCATAGGCTAAGTTTCTTTTTCTTGTTTTAAAGCTTCAAATCAATTAAAACCTATAACATATAAAAATAAAAATCAACTACTGAGTTGGTGTCACTAATCAAGATTCTGTTCATGGTACGCTTGTCCCTTATAAAAAAAGAAAACATTGTGTCACTAATCAAGATTCTGTTCATGGTAAGCTTGTCCCTTATAAAAAAAGAGATTTTTTTTCATAACAATATAGTTTATTCTCTTCCACCCTTATAGTATACCTTTTTATTTCTTTTGTTTTAGCTTTGTTTTACTTCTTGTGCATTAATGCTTACTTTTAATACAATTGTTTTTAAAGATAATTCAATTTTATAATTTTTATGAAATATTATAATAATATATTTTCTTACTTGTACCATAGTTCAAACTCATTTCACAATATTGAACCATGATAATACTTTTTAAAAAATTACTGATAGATATTTAAATTTAATTGGAATTTTTTAGAATTTATATTTTTTATTAAGTTTTAGGTCTCATTAACAATTAAAAAAAATAAATTTAAATTTATAAAATCTAATATGATCCATTAATCCAAATTTATTAAATGGTTCAATTTGAATCCAACACATCGAATTTGTAATTAGACTAAGCTTCGAGGATGTAAGTGCAATTTGTTAGCGCAGAAGACTGAAAATGAAATTTCACAAGAAGAAAGGGTCAAAACTAAATCATCTCTCCATGGGGGAAATATCGGAAATATGGACCCACGTGGTGGAAGATTTGGCCCCACATATTTAAAGAATTGAATAACGAACACATTGAAATAGCATATAGCCGTTGGGAAGGAGGCCTGCTTAACGGCTAGTTTTATTTCCTTCCATTGCCTACTGGGGTGTTTTTCTGCTTCCTTTTAAGCACCCTCTTATGACATAAGCTGAGCTTGTGTTTCCAATAAAAAACCATAAGATCATCTTGTTGTTTTTGAATCTCTCATTAAAATCCCACTTACCATCTCGATCTCTTCCCACTTCCCTCCTTCCATTTTGAAAATCTCTCCTTTGCTCTCTTTCTTTGCTGTCTTAGCAAGACTATTCAATTGTTGCTGTTTTTTTTCCCCATTTGAGAAAGGTAGGTTTTTCTGATTTACTAGTCGATTAGATCTTTATTTTTTTCTCTTTAGTACTAGTATAGTTCATTTTGTTATGTAGACTTGAGATTAGTAGATTAAACCAAACCAAATATTACATAATGCCCGTGTCTTTATTTGTTGATTTTTATTTTATTTATTTTGTATAGTTCAATCAACTAGGTTCATCTTTCTCGTTGAAACTTTAGTAAGTTTTTGACTCTCTGATTCTAATATTTAATGTCATGTGGGTTTCGTTTTAGGTGTGTGAATTCTGAAGATTTGTAAAGATGAATGACCTCATGACCAAATCGTTTATGAGCTATGTGGACCTAAAGAAAGAGGCCATGAAAGATCTTGAAGCTGGTCCTGACCCTGTTGTAGAAATGGCAAATGCATCAAACACCATGGACAGCAATCTTGGTCTGTTCCTTGAAGAAGCTGAGGATGTAAAGAAAGAAATGCGATCGATCCGTGAGATTCTTGACCAGTTGCAAGAAGCAAATGAAGAAAGCAAGTCCTTACACAAACACGAGGCCTTAAAATCGATACGAGACAAAATCAATGCAGATATCGTTAAAGGCCTGAAAAAGGCCAGAAGTATTAAAACCCAGCTTGAAGAAATGGATCGTGCCAATGCTGCTAATAGGCGCCTTTCAGGGTACAAGGAAGGAACTCCGATTTATAGAACAAGGGTTGCTGTTACTAATTGCTTGCGCAAGAAATTGAAGGAGCTGATGATGGATTTTCAAGCTTTAAGGCAAAAGATGATGATTGAGTATAAAGATACTGTTGGTAGGAGGTATTTCACTGTTACCGGAGAGTACCCAGATGAGGAAATCATTGATAAGATCATCTCTGATGGTAATGGGGGTGAGGAGTTCTTGAAACGTGCAATCCAGGAGCATGGGAAAGGGAAGGTGCTGGAGACTGTGGTGGAGATACAGGACAGGCATGATGCTGCCAAAGAGATTGAGAAGAGCTTGTTGGAGCTGCACCAGGCGTTTTTGGACATGGCAGTGATGGTGGAGGCACAAGGGGAGCAGATGGATGATATTGAGCACCACGTGTTGAATGCTAGTCACTATGTGAAGGATGGTACCAAAGAGCTCAAGAGTGCTAAAGATTACCAGAAGAGCAGCAGGAAATGGATGTGTATCGGTATCATTCTCCTTTTGATAATCATTCTTGTGATTGTTATACCTATCGTTACTAGCTTTAGCTACTCTTGAATTGGAGGGCCTTATGGAGGATTTAATGACCTGTTATTCCTTCTGGCTTTCTTGCTTTACTTTTGGAGGATATGCTTTAATCCCTTATTTTGGGGCCAGATTAAGCGGGGAGGGGGTTCGGTTTTCTCTCGTCACTGCTTCACTCTTTGAGTAATGGTAGGATTTAATGTTGTGATGTAAATTTGGAAAAATTGCTTTATTCTTTATGCTCGTTCTTTGCTCCAATCCTGGAAGTTTACAACTTTAGATTCTGCACAGACAGTTGTTTTAGAACAGGTGTCGGCAATGACTTTTAGAGAAAGAAATATATGGACTTGAAAAGCAGCAGGATTGCCTTTAGGCAAGATAGCCTGTATATTGTTCTGGTTTTTCAGAGAAACACGATCCATCATCCTTCTTTATCTTTGAATGGGTGCCTTTTTGGAGCAACTTCATGATCCAATGTAGGGAATTCAGGAGGCAATTGGGTCTTGGCTAGAAACTATAGAAACAAATTGAAAAAGGAAATGCAGCAGAAATAAAAAAGAAAAAAAATCCAGATTTCCTTTTCTGGACTCAAAAAGATTTAGCTGTGCATTTCTGAAATAGTAAAAGGCATGAAGAAGAAGACTTCAATATTTTCTTCTAAGTTGAATTCTATCTAAACTTCGCTTCCATTTTCAGATCACTCAACATATCATATCCATTTCTTCTTTACTTGGTCTTCCTCGTCTTTTTGGAGTTAATAAATTCTTCTGCCAATCTCTGGAACAAGCTCAACTCAGTCTACCTCGTCTCTTCTATTTCTTCAACTTCCTTTATTATGTGTGCTGATGAATTTGTTGAAGTCTCTTCCTATGCTTTCAAGTTCAAGCACAATGCTTTCTGGCAGAAACTTGATAGTGAAGGAAATGGAAATTACCAGTCATCTTTATTGTGAAGGAACGCATTGTTATGATTGTAGAGCATTGCAGGATACACTGGATCTTGCACAAACCTCTGTACAGTTGATCGGGTGAAAAAGCCAATATCTGGAGTTCTCCAGGACAAGTTCCCGACAAGCTTGTTGGATTCTGTATGGAATTTATGCAATTGGCAGTCAAAAGTATCACAAGTAGGATTTAGGCCACTAGTGATGAACCACTTCCCAACGAAATCTGCAACATTAAAGTTCTTGACAAGAATGGCAGGATCAGGGACGGAATTCCAACATCAGACTTCTGAGGTACATACTTCTTTCATGAGACTGCACACTAATTGAATTCATCAACAAGACTGTTTTCAAATGGATCCCCACATTTGATCTGCAAAATATCTGTAGAGGGTTACTCGTTGAATAACATTATCTATCTCACCAGGTATAAGGTAGAACTGTTAGGTTGGTTGCCATTTCATGTAAGGCACCAACCATTTACCATTGACTATTGGTAGCCACCATTGTTGAATGAGATAGAGTTGGTGGCCACCATTGTTGAATGAGCTAGAGTTGGTAGCCACCAATGTTGACAACAAACCAAGATTTTGCCGAACCACGTTAAATATTGTGTCAGTGTGCTTGGCCTCCTATGAGCAAGTATCAGAACATCACCGGTAGAAATTCCCAACAAGAACAAGATTATTGGACAACCAAAAAGCTTAGGCTGACAAAGAGGGGTTTGTTTGTTCTAAAAGAGATGTTACACTGTTTCCTTTAAAGCTTGTGCTGTTAGTGAGCATTCTGCTTATACATATTGTTTCTGCAGTATCTGCGAGCATCTCAAGAGAAAGAACAGAACTTACCTGGCATTCATCTGCAGTATGGAGGCAAGCAACATTAGCAGCACAAGATTGAGTTTGCAATGCACTTTGCCAATTCTAGCCCGACAATAACAAGCTGGTAAGTAAATGACAATGATGAAGGATCAAAATGCACTTGCCGGTTAAATGGAAGGAAATCCCTTTGCTACCAAAAATTTCAACAACTAATTCCCATCAATACCACCACCTCCTCATCAAATCTAAACAGAAAATGCTAACCTATAATTCATATCCTAGTGTATCTTCTGATTGCATAACAGTACGCCACCATAAATCACATTCAGACAGATTACTGAAATATGTTAAACCATGATTTTAAGGATGCTTTCATACTGAAATGAAAGAAATTTAACTTCTATTAGAATTATGTTGTTCACTTTTCTCTAACATTAATGGATTATAATATTTGACCTACTCTGCAATCCAAACAGCTCAAAAGAAGTTATTCATCACTAGTCCTGTTGGTTAACATAGCGGCTCTGATTTGAATAATAAAATACCTTTATGGGAAATCCTACGCACACAGCACCAGAAATAGCTTCAGGTAAACATTTTAAATTAATAAAGTTAGCTTCATTTATCACGATTTTAAAAGCATTGTTTTTTCTTTTTTAAAAAAAAAATAAGTAGGAATTTTTTCAATCTAAACTCTATTTTTTTATTAATGGATTTATTTTTTGTTTTAATAAAATATATTTTGTAAGAAGCATTGTTGTTAAATGAAATCATATCATAATCTCAAAATTTTTTGTAAGAAGCATTGTCTTGATATTTTGTGTGTGACTGAAGGAAAACAATTAAATAATGTAACAAATAACAAAAAATAGAATTTACTTTTCTTTAATATTCATGTGTGTATTTTAAAATGTTTTTGGGTTATATAACAATTAAAAAATTATTTAAAAACTATGGTAAAATTATTATTATTATTTATAGAAAATTTTAATCAAAATATCAAACACTTAAAAGATTGAATTTATGCACTTAGCCAGAGAAAAAGAAGGCCAAGCATGCTAGGACTTGTAATACATGGATCAAAAAGATGAGTGACACATTGTCTAATTTATTATTATTTATTTTCGTAGATAATGTGTGGTGTGTTGTACAAATTTTGGCCACAATGAGACGATTGTTTATTTTAAAACTTTTTTTAATTTTTGTTTTTTTTTTTTTGAAAAATACCTATTTTAAACTTTTTTTAATTTTTGTTTTTTTTTTTGAAAAATACCTAATAAACATTCTAAAAATCAAATCAATTCCATTGCTAACCTAAAATCACCCTTGGTTCAAAAATCTAAATTAAATAAAAAAAATTCTTTTAAAGTTCAATCTATTTCTTACAACAAGATAAAAGTTTTAAACTCTCTGCACTCCTTTACGCAAGAACATTCACATAAATTCACATTAAAAATAACTTTTTGGTTATTGAAATATAAAAAAAAAACCTTTTTTTCCTATTTTTTTATGATTTTCTTTCTCATTGGTAAAACTCAAACTCAAGGATTGCACCATTATTCAAATTTTTTTGTGAAAATGAGAAGGACTATATTTGTTTTTTTGGTTTTTTATATGGTACTTCTTCTTTAAATTAATTTTTATATAAATTTAAATTTAATTTTATTAAATTGGTGTCCACCTCAATTTTTAAAGTTGTAAAAATTTAAAATATAACCAAGAACATGCAAAGAAAAGAAAAGACATATAAAGTATAACCAAGGATGAAATATACAAGGAGTAAAGATGTATATAACCAAAATGAAAAATAAAAAAAGTACATTCATGTTCTATAACACAAATATTTAATATTAAAAATCAATTAACAAATATTTTTTCATTTGTATTTTATATATTTATAATTAATGTTGTATATATGAATTTCTTAGATTTACACAACTAATCTTTCAAATTTATTGAATTAGGTTAGCTCAATAACCTTTTTTTCATCCTTTTTTTTTTCTTTTTTGATAAAAAAACCTTCAAGTGATTTTATAATAATTCATCTTCAAGATTGAAGTTTGAAACAAAATGTTTTCCTTTTCTCATGGAGGAATGAGAATATCATTGTACCTCAACAAAATTGTAAAGAACATTTAATTCATCAACTTGCTTTATGTAAATAAAATAGAATTAGTTTTGTAGAAAACATAATCTATAATTTGAATACATAAACTAAAAAACAAGCTGCAAGTTATATGAATTTATTGTTCTTTTTACTTAATGAGACTTACATAATTCAATAGCATTCATCTATTTGCTAATGGTTTCTCCTCTCACTTAGGTTTCTATAACTTGTGTTATATATATATATATATATATACATATATACATACATATATATTCCACCATATCATATGTTAAAGGCATCAGTCTCAACTATCTTAGAAGCTGAAGCTAAATGGAGAAAAGGAATGATTTGAACCTATTTTTTAATTTGTTTGACTAGATTGGTATGGAGGTCAAACCAAGGAACGAGGTTAGTTTTTAACCTGTCATGTAGAAGTTTGGCTAAACGACTAATGTTGGGATAATAGATGAGAATATAATTTAGACTGCCTAAAAACCTCTGCAATTAGGTTTTATCAATGATCTTATTAGGAAATTTACTTGTAAAGGTTAAAGATCGCTCTATTAGTGTGACACTATCTCGGCAGATATTTGGTATCAGAGTCTACTGGGATCTGGGTAGGAATAGTAACATAAAAGACAGAATTCTTAGAAGAACATAATCTATTAGACTATAGGTTTGCAACTGAATGGTGTAAGTCCTGTTTGAGTTTTAAGGCCATAAATCCATATAACCTGTAGCCAACAAGTTTATCTTTCATCTTTATGGATTCTGTTTTTTACAGAACTACTTCTATTTTGGCTTCCACTGAGTCCTCTAAAAGTACAAGGATTGTATGAAGTGAAGAAATGACTATTGAAGATTTTACGAAAAACATTGATGATTGGAAAATTCCAAAAATTTCTTAAACTTAATTTTATTAAAAATCTAAATATGATATTTTCAAAATAGATTTTACAATCAAAACTGAAGAAAAAGACATTCAGCTTACAAAACCATTTGAAACAATTCAACTCCTCTCTTCAAAATCCCTACAAAAACATCTAGCCCGAAACTATAAATATATTCATGTTGGCCTTGTCCAAGTCGGGATAAAACTTCTTACAAAAGAAGGCTTAAATACATCCATTTTAGCTGTCCTTCGAGATGCTAGATTTCAAAACTTTGAAGACTCTCTCCTCAGTTCTATTGAGTCTAGCCTTTGCAGCGGTCCAGTATCATTTGACTGTTATCCAAACATAACCATATCTTTTAAGGACAAAAATATTTTGCAAAGTATGCTACTACAAATAAAGACCCATAATTATGACATGCTTGAATGATCTATCCTTGTTGCTCTCATATTTAAAATTCGCTATAAAGCCATGTTCTCAACTTTTGCTAGCAAACACATATTCCAATCTCAAAAAGAATAAACACTTCTACAAACAAATTTATCTAGTTCAAACACTGTAGTCCCAAAAGCAATCTAATGGAAAGATATATCCCTTCTAGAAAATTGGATCCTCGAAGGTGTAGCACCACCAGAATTACCTCAACCACCTCAACCCAATGTCCAAATTAAAAATATTATCTAGTACACAGATGGCAAAGTCAAACTATCTTTCCATTGTCACTCTACAAGTTCCAGGTTCTCAGAAGCCTCTTCTTTTTCCAGTACAATAAATCTAGATAGAATTTCCAAAATCCCTTTTGTCATCAATATCCTTTATCACGAAAACCCTTCAAGAAAATCTACATCCGATATCCCTTCTCCTAGCTTTCAAAATACAGACTATACTATAAATATACCAAAATCTATCTGTACAGATCTTGAGCAACCATCTACTCCAACTTCGCCAACCTTTTCAGCTGTTACTGAAAACATCCAAAACGAGCTGAATGTTTTGACTTCAGAAAAACATTTTGTTCTTGACAAAACTCTCTTAAAAAAAGATTTCTATTCTGCCTCTAACTCTACAAAACGAATTTGGTTTTTTCAAAACTTTCTCCAACATAGAAGTGAAATACAAAACCAATTTTATAATTTCATTGAGTTACATAAAATATAGATTTTATTCTTTGATTTAAATATGATATTTTCAAAATAGATTTTACAATCAAAACTGAAGAAAAAGACATTCAGCTTACAAAACCATTTGAAACAATTCAACTCCTCTCTTCAAAATCCCTACAAAAACATCTAGCCCGAAACTATAAATATATTCATGTTGGCCTTGTCCAAGTCGGGATAAAACTTCTTACAAAAGAAGGCTTAAATACATCCATTTTAGCTGTCCTTCGAGATGCTAGATTTCAAAACTTTGAAGACTCTCTCCTCAGTTCTATTGAGTCTAGCCTTTGCAGCGGTCCAGTATCATTTGACTGTTATCCAAACATAACCATATCTTTTAAGGACAAAAATATTTTGCAAAGTATGCTACTACAAATAAAGACCCATAATTATGACATGCTTGAATGATCTATCCTTGTTGCTCTCATATTTAAAATTCGCTATAAAGCCATGTTCTCAACTTTTGCTAGCAAACACATATTCCAATCTCAAAAAGAATAAACACTTCTACAAACAAATTTATCTAGTTCAAACACTGTAGTCCCAAAAGCAATCTAATGGAAAGATATATCCCTTCTAGAAAATTGGATCCTCGAAGGTGTAGCACCACCAGAATTACCTCAACCACCTCAACCCAATGTCCAAATTAAAAATATTATCTAGTACACAGATGGCAAAGTCAAACTATCTTTCCATTGTCACTCTACAAGTTCCAGGTTCTCAGAAGCCTCTTCTTTTTCCAGTACAATAAATCTAGATAGAATTTCCAAAATCCCTTTTGTCATCAATATCCTTTATCACGAAAACCCTTCAAGAAAATCTACATCCGATATCCCTTCTCCTAGCTTTCAAAATACAGACTATACTATAAATATACCAAAATCTATCTGTACAGATCTTGAGCAACCATCTACTCCAACTTCGCCAACCTTTTCAGCTGTTACTGAAAACATCCAAAACGAGCTGAATGTTTTGACTTCAGAAAAACATTTTGTTCTTGACAAAACTCTCTTAAAAAAAGATTTCTATTCTGCCTCTAACTCTACAAAACGAATTTGGTTTTTTCAAAACTTTCTCCAACATAGAAGTGAAATACAAAACCAATTTTATAATTTCATTGAGTTACATAAAATATAGATTTTATTCTTTGATTGGTTCAAATTATATTATGCATCTGAACATCACATTGCATATTCTTTTGCATCCATTAAATATGCATGCCCAGTCACATCTAGATTAAAAACCCCTGTATGGAACCTCACTAGTGGACCTACTGTTGAGTCTGAATATCCAC